CTACTCGATTATGTAGCGGTGTAAGCCCCATCGGGTTGTCATTTCTTTTGTATTTACCACTTTTCTCTCACCTTGGAATCGTATTATTTTCCTATAAACATATCAGCATCAATTACTAATTCATTTTTTTATCTTTACTGATTTACAGCAGAGTGTTTTCTATGGCCAATTAACGAATAACAAAACAGGTTGTCCCCAGAATGCTGAAATGTTTGAATACCACAGATTTGATTAAATGAGATCGAGCACGGGCTAGCAAATAGTTGCACGCCACCTGTCGTGTCTGTTTTGTGCCAGAGGCCACCAAAGCCTGTCAGATGTCAAGAAAAAGGCGCCGCCCAGCTCTTTCACGAGGACCATTTAGAGGAAACAGAAATTACCCTTTGTCCAAATGAAGCCCCATGCGTGCAAGCAAAGGGACATTAAGATAATTAACCTGAAGTGGGTTAATTTTGCCCCCTGTTGTTTAGCCATCTGACGACCACAGCGCTTACGTTCAATAGGGACTGGAGGTCGAGATGATCATCTTTTTTATATATTTAAAAAAAATACTGTTTACGGCGATTGTATTGACAAAAGCAAAATGTTCTATTCTTTGAATTATGATTATGCTCTGTTGTTTACACCAGAATGTTTTGTAAACTATAAAAAAGTTTTACGTGGAAGTCGAATTATCTAGTCTCAAAGTAATTTATTCACTCTGATCTAGCCAAAAGAAGAAGGTCTTTTTGACCTGTTGGAAGGACATCGCCATCGTTTTGAAGTTGTAACTCACGTCTGTAAAACTGTCATCTTATAGACATCGAAGTTTAGCAAAACAGCTCACAACCAAAGCGTAACGACAGTCAATGGTAATAACAAATGTGATTTTTAAAATGCTTTGAAAAATTAACCACCGACAGCATCAGGAGCGACAGAAACCATCGGTGTCTAGAAATCCCATTGTCAAATACAGAGAGGCAGGACAGGAATTGGATTAAAATCATCCGCGCCAACTTCCAAACATTCAACCTGCACAGTTTAGAAGTTCAATTACTCTCGATAATTTAAGAATTTCAAACGAACACTTTTTGGTCAAAATGTTTTTAAAGAGATCATAAATGACCTCCCTTTAACTGAGACTGTACGCTTGCCCAAGCCCACATTGTTATAGTCGGAATCTGCTCCTTTTGCCTTTTTTTGTGACTGGCAGGCTTGCAACATCTTAGCAGCCGAATCTGGCAATTTGTCCAGCAGGTTCAAAATAATCAGCTACCTGAACTTGTTGCCAAAACATCTTTTCGCTTTCGCAATGTTGACTGTTTTGTTGAATCGTTGTAACGTCCGATTTTCAAAATTGCTTAACTTATAAGTAACTAGCTACCCGCGTACCTTTAGCATGACAAGAAAGAGCTTGGGGATTAGACAAAAACCGTTGTAAAGGTCCAAGCTAAAGGCCGTGTTGAGGCGATGCCTGCACACCAAACTGCTCGCACTGCCGTGCACAAAAAAGATCCATGTTTGTACATCATGTTTTTGTCCTCCTGGTTTTCTCCTCCACTTCAATAAACATTCAATCACTTAAATTTATTCAATTGTTGCTTTCTTTCCACAGTGTCATTGACATTGGTCTACACTAGACATTATTGCTAGCATGAGCTCACTAACCTCTCCCCCCCCCCCTTTTTTTCTTCTTCTTTTTCGATAAAAAGAAGAATTTAGAGATTCCCATTTGATGTTATTCGTGCAGCTTTTGATGAATAGCCGACACTCACTTTTTAAAAATTAAGTGGAATTGGAGATCGATTATTTAATTCTGGAATATCATATGACGATACATAGAGATCGAACAATTCATTTTTTTTAAATTCTCATCCTCAAAATCAGGAAAATCTGGCTCTGTCATGGTCTTAATATTGAATGCTACTTTCGTTTAATTTCATGTTAACGAAACCTTGTTCCTCGTAAGTGCGGTTCACCACCCAGCAGAGTATCTTGGAATTGTAAAATCAAGGTCTATTATTACGTTCACAGATTCCTTTTAGGGTCGATGAATAAATTGTAATTGATTTAAAACCTCGGACATGGGCGAAAAATCTCGGAGATGCCATGTGCAAGTAGCGCACGTTAAAGATCCCTTGGTGGTCTAAAGTCGATAAGAGTAGGCTTTGGCCGCCATCCGGGCAAAATTCAAAATTTCATACCAAAGGAAAATGTTTAGTGTGTCCCGCGCGCTCATATGACCTTATGCAGTTGCGAGCGCCGTGAAACACTTACCGAAAAAAATTATTTAAAACATTAAATTCAGTCGTAGAGAGCGACTGTGCGCTCTTCTTCTCACAATGACCCGCCAATTAGCTCGTGGCTTATTCTTTCGATGATAGTCTTGCATATAAGAATGCTCTGATCAGAAAGGCAGAAATAATTATATTGTTTCTTTACTTTATGACACTGTGGTGTAGGCTTGTATTGGGCAGGAGTGTGCGTCCTTCCCATTCTAAAAACAGTGTGTGTATAATTAAGTGCTTGATAACTCACGTGTGTGTATGTGTGTGTGTGTGTGTGTGTGTGTGTGTGTGTGTGTGTGTGTGTGTGTGTGTGTGTGTATGTGTGTGTGTTCGTGAATATCAGTGTACTCTGAGTCATGTGGATCTAATTCGTCTGCTTACGGGCATTTTTTGCGTGTAGCAAACACAAAGTGCTTCGACAAATTCACCACGTTTTATCCTTTAAGACCGAGTCCCTGAGTAATGGGGTGTCTCATTCAATCTATTTGCGTCTGTCGGTGTCTATAGCAAGTTGTGGAAAGAAATATCTAATCGTCAGAAATCCAGAGTCTCATCAATCAGGAAAAAGATTGAACCCTCCCTGTGAAACACGCCAAATCGATTGGGTAAATTGTTATGACCATTCCATACCTGTAGACCCTCCGACGAACGAGGAGCAATAATTATAATTTCCACCGATATTTCGCCGAAATAGACCTTGGCGGAAACCAGCCCATTATTGCGTCAATATCAAGTGACGGCGGGTGGAAGTGGCACACCTCTCCACCCCCCTTGTTCTGGGCTTGGAGACGCTATGGCAATCCGGAGCCACTTGCATACAGGAGGAAATGGCCCCGGTCACGGGGACGTGTACCCTAGCCCAGGATTTTATTGCTTTCGCTTTATGAGAGCGATCAGGGGGAATCAGAGACTGGAATGAAATGATCCAGGTGAAATGTACGGTGTCTTTTCACAGCATATCACGTCATTGGATCGAGTCAAAGATTCGTATTTATTTTTGTCCTGGGTCGTTATTGGCGTGGTTGATGAGATCGTTCATTTTGGGGTTTTTGGTGCTGTGTTAGCGTGCACGCTCTATTTGCTTGTTCTTGTTCTGCTTCGAGGTTGCCATAGTTGCTACAAATATAGGTGCCCGTTTTTCGCCTTTATGTTTTGTTCATATTTACTATTGGCCTATTCAAGCTGCTGTAGTCGATAAAAAATTATGAGTCCAATATTAAGAAAAAGTGTGTTTTATATCTCAAAGGGGAGAGGGGGTGCTGGGCATGAAAGGAAGGTCGGGGAGGTGGGGGCGATTCAATCATTTGCGACAATATTCATAACAAAGTGATAAAGAGACTACTAAATCAATGGTTCTAAACTTGGGGCCGATCAAATCCCAGCGGTTCAGCGAGCCAGCCTCACTGGTGATTAAAAACAGAACAATTATATTACAGATAAATGAAGTTCGTTTCCTTCATTGCAATTTATGTGATTTGCCGTCTTCTTTTGTCTACTGCCTTCAATAGTAGTTGGTTTGAGATCATTGGTTATGAAACTGGCTGACCTGTCTGAGTTCGGGCAGTGCCGAATTGTTGTTCTTTCTAATATGTCTTTCCTGTATCGACTTTTTCCTTTCACCTATGTTTTTTGATGAGGGAGCAAACGCCTCGGTTTCAAAAGACCAACATTGAATGGGAAAACAGGTTCCACTACAGGCTCAGATATAGGGTTGCTCCATCTTGTGACATAATGGGGCAAGGGAAGATAGGACTGATACTAATATTAATAATGTTCTGCATCAAGGAAACAAAGTACATGATTGCTAATTATACTTTTGAGTAGCCTACCAGTTTTTAATGGAAAAAAGGTATGATAAATTACTCACAAGATAGCTAAATACGGGCGGAAGCGGCTTACCAGTTGTGGTCAAATCGTTCACAAAACTAGAATGTGCCATTTGCATGGGAATGTGAAAACAAAATACAAACGTAGACATATTTAAGACAAAATGTTGTAAGCCTTACACTCCTTTTCACCGGCGTCTGTAATGAAGGGATGAGACGCTTCGACATGGCACGCAGAAGATCGGTGTGGGAAGTATTTTTATCGAGCACTTTTACTGGCGCATTGTATCCCTCTTAGCCTCGATTGGCCTTGGTAGACAAGTTCGAAGCCCGACATTTAAATGATCTTAATTGTGTTGATACGGGGGTAAAACATTCGCTAAAACAAAATCACTCCTTTTCCTCGAGTCATGTCAGATCTTTCTATCTTCGAAGTATGGCCACTGGCCCTGTCTGACAGGCAGGGTCAAAGCCCGCCACATTAATTTCTAAATTATGTTGATGGTGATGTAGAAAAATCTACGTAGTCTTAAACAGCCGTATTCTCTGCTCACAGCCGAACGCTCCGTATCCCGGACTCTAGCTTGGAAATCATCAGGAGAGAATTCGTTACTGTTTCGGGCTCTTCCTTTCTACAGCTTTTCTGACGCACCGAGCCCCCTCATCGATGTGAGGTCTCCATGCTAGTCCGACTGTTTTCCTCTGCTGCCAACTGTTAGGATCCATTCCAGCCTGCGTCCTCTCGCTTCAACCAGATCAAGTGACTGGCTTTCCCTACAGTCTCCTGAAGAGAGCTTATGATTTCGTTACTTTTCTTTGCAGTAAGACCTGCCACTCGCATCTACTTACGGACGCTGGTTGCTACGAAAACTTTTTTGATAAGCTCCTTTTCCTCGTGTTGTGTCAGGTCTTCCTGGGTCAGAAGTATGGCTACCGGCCCATCCCGGCGGAGATTCTGGCCTCGGAGTTCGAGCTATTGCGGGAGTGTGCCAAACAGGACCCCAACGAGGTGAAGCTGCTGGACGAGTGGTACAAGAGGGACGACAACTTTGTCCCGGCCGTATACGTGTTGCAGCCCATCAGCTCAATCTTTACCAACTTCAACAACAAGGTAAGATAGTTTTGTATTTTTTAGTGATGGCATTTTTCGTTTTAACTGACAATCTGGGAGGTGGGGGTAGACTAACAGGAAGTAGGGTGCCCAAGTATTACTTCCTTCCCTTCAGATCTTTACCTCCTAAATACTCTCCAAAGGAGAGACATCGCCTGTACATTTGGAATCAAGGAAGGTGTATGGGTGTGTCTTACTATGATTATTTTACAATGGGGTATACTATTTTACACTGTGGTATTATATGCTGCTGTATTTCATACAATACTCCCGATTCTACTATAATATACTTTACGGCACGTTGTTTAGTGTGGTTTGAAAAAGAAATGCTGAGGTGTACTTAACACCCCAGTCAACAAAGTAAGGTTGTTTCAGAGACGGGACATCCAAACCTAATGTCATTCTCCGATAGATACGACACAAACCTGGTATAATTTAGTATGCTATGACATGGTATGGTATGTTATGGTTTGATTTTAACATCTTTTTCTGCAGGGTAAAGATATTTGAGAGGCCGCCGAAATTTTGCTTTTAACGTTTGCCCCTGGTAGAATTCTTGTTTCCTAGCCAACACCTGAAAAACAGAAGCAACATAATTAATGATAAGCTTAAATTATAATCATTGACTTAAATTCAAAGCCTAACTTACTTTCCAAAAAAACAAAAACTTAAGTACATTTTTATATAAACCTAATAGAGTATATAAATGAAATCTGTTATTGAAATGATTATCGTTATAATTTTTGTAAACTTTATTATTATGGTTATAGTAATTATTATTATTGTTATCATCATCATCACCATCACCATCATCATCATCATCCTTGTTTGATAAGCAGAGTAGGAGGGAGAGTCTTATTTGAATTTCAGACAAAATAACATAGCAAAATAAAATGTTTAAAATGTATTTAATAGCTCAATGTTTCGCCTCTTAGGCTTCCTCCGGAGCAACAGAGAGAAAAACTAAATGTGCGCTGTATACTAGCAGGGAAATGGGCCTCATCATCATCATCATCATCATCATCATCATCATCATCATTAGCATTAGTAGTAGTAGTAGTAGTAGTAGTAGTAGTAGTAGTAGTAGTAGTAGTAGTAGTAGTAGTAGTAGTAGTAGTAGTAGTAGTAGTAGTAGTAGTAGTAGTAGTAGTAGTAGTAGTAATGGTGGTGGTAGTAGTAGTAGTAGTAGTAGTAGTAGTAATAGTAGTAGTAGTAGTAGTAGTAGTAGTAGTAGTAGTAGTAGTAGTAGTAGTAGTAGTAGTAGTAGTAGTAGTAGTAGTAGTAGTAGTAGTAGTAGTAGTAGTAGTAGTAGTAATATCATACTATCTTCATCATCATTATCATTACTTATGAAGTGCACTATCCCCGTCTATCCCCCCCCCCCCCCCACTTCCAGAGGCACCAGCGACTGATGGAGAACGACCAGGCGGCATGGTGGGACACATTCACACGACTCACCAGGATCATCCGGAAGGCGGCCCAAGTGCTCTTCATCACCAAGAAGATCGACAGGGAACAAAGACATAACTTCTTCATGTCAGGTGAGTGCTTTCTCCTTCTGATCATGATTAAGTTTTTTGGAATTCAGATAATTGTGGTTGTGGGTGGTAGGCGGGTGCTCTAGTGTGTGGGTTTATTGGGGGTTGCATTTATTTTGCCATTTTTTGTTTTTGTTTTTTGTTGAGTTGTTGTTTTGTTTTGGGGTTGTTAGGGTTTGTTTTTGTTTTGTTTTTTGGGGGGAGGGGCATTGTGGGGAGTGGGGTTTGTTTTTTCGTAGGTTGGTTTTGGGGTGTGGTTTTTAGGTTCTTTTGTTGATAGGTTGTTGGTTGTTGTTCTTTTTTTTTGGGGGGGGGGTTGTTGCTGTTGCTTTGTTTGGAGGGGGGGGCAGTTCTCTGGAGTGCATTTGTCTCTTTTTTCCTACCAAACATCTTCCATCCTTAGCACTCCTTCTGTTACATATTAGTTACTGTCTTGCAATGCCTCTATTCTTCTACTTTTATATGACGTGTTTGTGTTGAAAATACCGTAAAACTCTTACTAATAGTAACTAAATCTATTCCGATAATGCCACATTTAACTACCTGCCGTTACCTTACAGCCCTCAGAGGTCTCGTATTGGCTTTTTTCCCATTATTTTGTTTCTATATTTGATTATTGTAAAAATTATTTTTGGTGGTGGCACTGCTGCCACTACTACTACTACTGCTACTACTACTACTACTACTACTACTACTACTACTACTACTACTACTACTACTGTTTTTGCCTTACCAATGCAGCTGTGATAAACCAACACTGCAATTGGGACAAATTTTCTTTATCCCTTGTCAAGCCTTTGATACAATTACAAACCCTAAACCTACCACTTTTCGTACTGGTTCGGCAACACCCACAACTTGCAAATATAGTCTACCCACAACATTCCCCTATTATTTTTGAAACTGTAATGAAACTTCTTTTTCCAGTAAGGTAAATAGACAACAGAAAGAATCCGAACACATCCGTAATCAACGCCCCGTCTGTCGCCGACACTAACCGTGTATCTGCCATCATAGGTTAAACTCTCTTGAGGAGAGAAATGTTGTTGTGTGGCATCGTGGTGAAATCAAACGCTCGTAAAAATAATTCAGTCGAAGAAACCGACATATATTTGTTAGTGGGGCAAATGTTTGAAATTATTATTTCCTATGTTATTGGGTTTTTTTAATTTTAAAATGTATTATTATTTTTTTAATTAATTTTTTTTTTTTGGGGGGGAGGGGTCATCACCTTTTACGTTCTATAAAAGACACATGCCTATGGGAATTTTACTGAAGAACTTTGAAAAAAGGTACAGTAAAATATAAATTTGCAGTTTCCAAGGATTCTCAAGCTTTGGAAGTCACCATACTTTGAGGGTCATTGTCCCCCTAGTTTTATCTCTAGCGTACGGTAAGGGGACCCCCAACTACTTCAGTCGTAATTGTCTCGGCTTATATTAAAGATAGATGGGTATTTTCTAATTGAAATTAAGACAAATGTACAAGCTTCAAAACAATATCAATAACTTCCTAATAGACCCAAAAATTGACGAACAGCTGATTCCACCATGTTGAAACACAATTTTTCTTTTAGAACATGTGTCTTTCAAAATTGCTCAATATTTTATGTAGAATGTTCTTTTATATAATATGGTACTACCATTTGTAATTACGTTTGTAAATAGCATAATGTGATGCAGGAAAAAGTGTTTGACATTGAACATTATTTTTTGGGTAAACGCTTAAAGTTGAACACCAAAAGAGTTGTCTTTCAGTTTTGTCCTTCGTGAATCCATGTAATCCTACTTGGTGACGTGTAGGAAATTGAAGGCTTGGAGAGCTCAACGCTTGGACCTATCAAAGGATCACTTGAAGCTTCGAGATTTATTGAACTGTAGATTTAACAGACATTCCCCTACGGCTGACAAGTGTGTAATTGCTGTTGCATTCTGTATTGTGTGGTCATTATATTGACTGAGCGCTTGTCTAGAGTTCTCTACGTGTCTTCGATACGAATTGTTCGCCCGACCTTAAGTTGGTCTGTGTCTAGTGGGTGTGTTTCTTTTTATTACCAAACGGAAAGCCAAACTGTTAGGGCAAAGATTGAAGGCTAGGGCCAAACACTTTGGCCTATCAAAAGGATCACTTGAAGCTTTGATATTTATTGAGCTGTAGATTTTACATAGATACGTCACAGTGCAGTTGAATCAATGGTTGAGTTTAGGATTTATTTGTACAGCTCAGATTCCCACTCAACAGCAAGCTCTATGCGCTTTATTTACCTATATTATTACCCTAGCATAGCATTCTGAAACAATACCAACATCCTGGGAAGCATACAGTTCAAGCTGCCATTTTACGTGGATATGATCATTTTGAAATTATGGTAGTTTATGATATAAGTGCATTGATGAATCTTTCTGTCCATCTGATATTCATCAAGCTATTTACATTTTTGCCCTTTCATCATGTATCCTTCTATCGATCAGACATAAAATTATCGGTACACCGTTCCATGTATCTGCCAATCTACTTATCCACCGACTGACCAGTGAATCCAATCCATCTAATTGTGTGTCTCTATGTGTATTTTACGACATATATATCTGTCTGTCTCCCTGTATTTCTTTCTGCGTGTGTCTGCCTTTTTTATATTTTATTTTCTTCAGGATATCATATGCACGTAAAATGGTAGCTTGCACTGTGTGCATCAAAGAAAGAAGACGTTGATTCAGGAAGTTATCGTCAGGTTTGCTGGGGCAATAAAAAGTAGATAAAATAAAGCCCAAAGAGCTTTTTGTTGAGCGGGAATTTGAGCTATGCATCTACTATTCATCATCATCATCGTCATCATCATCATCATCATTATC